TGCTTCTTCGTTGCCACTAATACTGGAGTGTCCAGGCACCCATCTCACTGTCACTTTCGCTTCTGAAGCGAGCTTGTGAAAGACGCGGGTTATCTGCAGCGACGATGATGACTTCCCCGTCCGAAGCGCGAGTATAGCTACCTGATTGTCAAGAAGAACGAAGATTTTCTCACCGTTCTCTCGAGCGCGCATAGCTTCCCGAAGTGCTACTGCTGCTTCTGCAATTTCTGCATCATAAACTTCACCGCCGTGTAGACGAGCTTGACCTTGTGCGAACGTTTGTCCTCCGCGTTGGAGGACATATCCCCATGAGGATCGTCCGTGGCCTTTAGATGACCCATCAGAGTAGGCGCATATGTCAAAGGGAGAGATCGTGCTAACCCAGTTATAGTGTGCTATGACTCCCTCTTCTTTCGTTCCAAGACTTGATGTGTACACTGGGCCTGCTAGCCCTTCTGCCTCTTCGGATGACTCCGGAAGCTGTCGAAAAGCACACTTTAGGCGCGATATCTGGGTTTCTGGTTGGCGCCTGACTCTCTTCCTTAGCTTGTACTTCTGCGAGCCAACGTTAGGGTACTCGCTTGCGCGGTTCCGGAGAGGGTCACAGTCATCGAGCGACTGAATCTTGGCTGCCAGATGGAGTCAAATTCCTTCGAGGAGAATCTTCGCCGGTGACATGCCCCCTTCCCTATGAAGAGGGACATTAGGCGAAGTCTTCCAGACCGGTAATGCGGCACGTAGGGCTAGTCGAATGGTTTTGTCGATCAGACTACATAGGTGTGTAGTCTATGGCGTTGAGGTACCTTTCTTCGTTGGCCGTGTTAGTCCGGGCTACCATACATCCGCTCCAAATGTTGCTACTGGTACGATGCATGAGTCGATGGCGGTAACCAAAGGACCTGGGGCCGCTCCTCGTCGAAGTGGGTTAAGTCGCCGCATGTGCTGGGCAGCTTTGAGGGCCTCCCCACAACAGGTCGCTACATGGTGCTTGAAGGTGAGACGCGGATCAAGGTGAATTCCAAGCCAGCGAATATGCTCCGCCGGCTGGACTAGCCTACCGCCAACTTGTATTCCTACCGATTCGCCCTGATTTCTCCCTTTGAATGGTATCACCTCATACTTTTCGAGGTCGAACGAAACCGCGTTCTCTTCAGCCCATTTCAGAAGATGGTCGACCTCGCCTTGTGCTGCCATCGCAGACTCGGCTAACGAGCGACCAATGCCGAGAATCCCAATGTCGTCCGCATAGCTGAATCGTGCTCTGCAGTTCCCGTTTCGCATGGGCTCGGCCATGTATAAAAGGAAGAGCAACGGAGAGATCGGTGATCCCTGTGGCACCTCTAGCCTCAAAGATCTCGGGCTGGTCACGCCTCCCGGATATCGTACCTGTACCCTCCTCCCTTTGAGAAAGGAGGATGTCCATCGTAGTACCGAGTCTGGCCAGCCTTGTGCCTGCATTGGCCATAGTAGCCGGTTGTGTAGGACAGCGTCGAATGCTCCTTGTACATCCATCGTTACAAAGGTGGATGCCTATCCTTGAGATCGAGCCTCCTCGACATTTTGCACTACTGAAGATACCAGATCATTTGCCGATCGTTTTGGTAGTGTGCCAAACTACTAGTGGCCTACAACGTCTAAAGTGATGGCTAATGGTAACATCTTTTTCGCAAAGATTCTTTCTAGTCCCTTGCCTAGACATGAGAGGAGTGCAATTGGTCTCCATCCTTTGGCCGTTGATAAATCACGACCACTTTTCGGTAGGAATATGACTTCCGCCAGCTTGAAGCATGCCGGATGGTAACCAAGTCTCAGGCGTGCTTGAAAGAGTTGTGTTATATATCTCCCAATACTGCTCCAGCGTGCGGCTAGCAAAGCTACTGAGATTCTGCCTGCACCAGGACAGGTATTACCTCCTCCAATGGTACATAACTGAGCTTCCAGCTCTGATAGCTCCTCAGACCATGGAATCCGAGGCTCTGCTGACCTTGTGCAAGGTGGGAGATCGTCTGTTTCCAAGTGACAGCCCAGTAGTAGATCGCGCAGAATCGTCGCTCGCTCTGCCTGGTCTGACACTAGTTTCCCATCATGCCGAAGGGGTGGCGGTATTTTTTGGTGTTTCGAGGCCGCCCACTTCATCATCTTGTAGACGTCCGAGCACGAGCGCATCGTTTCTATCCGCTTCTTCCAGTGCTCTCTCTTGGCTAATGCTACTGTAGACCTCAGGGTTTTGGCGCAGGCAGTCCGTTCTTCCTCGGTATATGCCGAGCGATAGTTATGATGAGCCTCTTTGCACTTTGGAGTCCACCAGGGCGCAGGCCTACCGCTTTCTTGACTACGTCTCTTTCCGAACGCTTTCAATCCGTCTATTAAGGCCTGACAAATCGCTTCTGCGTATCTCTCAACATCGCTTGTCGACTCCAAGGATTGCGGAGCTGAGATCCACTGAGATACTGCTCGTACGAAGTCCGGAAGCTTTTCTTTCGAGACTCGCAGTGAGCCTTGACATTCTTCCTCTGCATGACTTTTACTAGTTACCAAGCCGCAGACTGTTGTGACTAGGTTATGAGCAGATATAGAATAGTGTATAAGCTAGGGATAACGGCGAATGAGCAGAAAGAGATGATCGGACACTGAGAATGTAAGACCAGTTGAGAGATAATAATTCAAGAATAGTCTATGCCCCATAGATAGGACTGATATATATGTACATTATCTACACCCATAACAAAGCCCATTGTCAGGTAGCCGGAGTAACATATTCTGCACTGCGTTGTACTAGTAACACTCAGTTCTAAGCGCTGATTGTAATAAGTCGTGCTGGGACTATTTAATCCCTGTATCGCATACTAGCACTTGTACCTCGGACATGGGTGCACTAATACCAACTATAACAGTTACATCACAATACAGACAGGAAAATGGTCGCTTGTCACGCACTCACTCCGCTCTACCCATGCCTGTGCCCCCGCGACATTTGTCCATACTAGATCAAGCGTATTTCCGGCTCGATGCGCAGGCTTCTCAATGATAAGACAAGTGAGGCGGTGTTGCTCAGCCCAGGACTGTATTTTCTCGCCGTGACCATACGAGCATACTGTACCCGGTTGCCATGCCCAGTAAACAGAGTTGAAGTTGCCTGCAATTATTGATGCCGATGGAGGTACCCAGTTGATTACCGGTTCGATTGCTGCGTCGTTATTGTGCGCCTTGTACACATTGAGAAGTGTGACATTGTTGACGACTACCCAGCAGTAGTCTCCGGTCAGCGAAGAGCCTGGGAAAATCTGTTTAGCAAATATTTCCTTCTCCTTCGTTCGAGTGTACGTTACAGCTCGTGGCCGAACGCGTATCCCGCCGTGCGGGATGTGCAGAGTGTATCCAGGGTGAGATTTTGTCTCGCTGTACCACCAAGGCTTCTGTACAAGCACAACATCAACGCCTCTCTCGAAATCTCGAGAAAGCGCAATGTCGTGCGTTGGACCCCCCCTACCAACATTTATTGACATAAACTTGAGCTTTGGTAGGGCTGAACGACGCCGTGAGGCGCCTTTCATGAACGGGGGTGGCATCAGTCGGCGTGACTAATGCAGGTGGTAAGGCGGACTAGCCTGGGCTACTCGCACTCCCTGATCTAGTGTTGGCGAGGCTGGCTGCTCGCGTTTTGTCAGCCGCCGCTTTTGTCCTCCTGAACGCCTCGAACTCACGGTTGCCAGCGTTCCGGATTGTAACGAGCTGCTCCTTAGTCAGCGCTCCAGCACGAGTGTGTCAGGAGAGACAGTTCCGGCTATCTGCGCAATGAGGACCTCCGCAGTTGCGACATCTAGCTGCAGCAAGACATTCTCTTTCTGAATGCATCAGTGAGCCACAGTTTCGGCATGCTAGAATCCGAGAGCAGTCGCCGGTACTGTGGTAACCAAAGCAAAGTTTGCAGATTGCTTGCGTTTGACGCTTCGGGACTGTGGCTGCCCCTCCCGAGTCGTCAAGAAGTCGGAATCCCGTTCGAGGGTCAGATCCGCTCTCGAAAAAGACTACCCAATTACGTTATCTGGCTCCGTGATGACAAGATCGATATTGATGAGATATCGTCGATTATGGATACGTTTGTGCTGGATTCGAACTTGCATCCGGATGCGATTCTTCATAGCTATCCCTCACATGCAGAGCGTACAGAGCGATTACACTAGCACCACTGGGAAGTGAAGAACCCGTCTTTGCCGGCTATCTCATGTGGCGAATGGGTCAAAAAATTGTGATTAGCGTATCATTTGGCGGCGTAGGAGATGTGCCATGTCATGGAAATTGGCTGAATCCACAAAGGAAAGACAAATGGCTTGGCACTCATTCCATGTCACTCTCGATTGAACGAGTCTTGGGACTACCAAGGACGAATGATTATTATTCATCAGACATATCGAACCCGGGAAGTCCGGCTTTCGTTGACCATCTTGCCAAAGGTCCTTCCTATATCTTACGTCCTTATAATGCGGAAGATCGTCGAGTCAATTGGTTTGAATCAGACCCAGGACATCACATTACCTTTAAGCTGTGGCCTGGGCCAGAAAGGAGCCTAATGTGGTAGACATTCTAAGACTCAAGTAGTACAATAAACATGCCCTTCTCTCTCACTATCTCATCTAAGAGATTTGGCTCAGTCAACAAGCTTTTGACGTAGTAGATTGCTAACACTCATTTGAATTCCTTCGGTAACTATGGCTTGTAGCAATTCAGGTTCATTTAATTAACGCATACCAAATATCGACTTTTGATTGTTATCAAATTAACAATCAGGACACTAAAAGTAATTGAGGGACGGATGCCTCTATTCACTTCATCCATTCACACTTCGAACCTATAAAAAAGAAAGCATCCAATAATCAACCCCATTCAAACTTGGATCACATTTAATTCCAGCTCTTGATGTCTCAAGAACCTCAACCGCAAAAACCCATCCGGCACTTACACCTTGAAAAGCATAAATTCCCCAACAAGTCAGCGTTAACATGAAGTTCATGAACTCCGTGATATCTGCTTCTATACTCGGCCTATTTGCTACAGTATTTGCTGGAAAGGTTTATAAATGCTCAACTAGTAAAGAGATTCTTGAAGAAACCGTCAACGCCGCCGTCGAAAACGAGCTAGCTTTACTGGATAATGGCCAAAATACCAATGTGATTGTTGGGAATCTTATCAGGGTTGGACTTCTGACCCATTTGGTTGATGACGCTAGGTCAAATCTGTCCCTATGGTAACATATAGCTACTAAAACATGGCGTCAAGTTCAATATGAAATTACAGCTTATATCAACACACAAGACAGAACATTCCAAGTATATGAGGAGAGAGGTAGACCTCAAGTATGGAAATATGCAACCTAGTGGATGGGTAACTAGCAGTAAGTTCATATGATCAAATGTAGCTCATTAAATCTCAGAATATATATCAGAGGTACACGTGCATCAGATTTTAATTTTGCATGCAACTATCAAGCTATGACACAATATCAAAGAAAAGTATACAATCGATGGCTCATTATAAAGGAATAGCACTCATGCCTCGGATTTCGTTTGCAAGTAACTCTGCGAAGTTGTAGTGGCTTTTTCTTCACCCCAAGTCAACCCACATCCGTGAATATCCAACCAGTGGAACCTCTCAAAGCCCCAGAGTTATCCAGACATGCCTCCACCATCCATTAACTTTTCTCCACGTGAAATGTGGTCCTAGGCGTCTCCTTCCCAAGTGGAGTAGGTGCTAAGGCTAGTCAAAGTATACCGGAGAACACTACCAGGAGGCGGATCACAACACCTTTCATCGTTGGCTTGTTTTTATAGTGTCAGCTGCACTCTCGCACGTGAGGTCTTGGCACGCACTAAGTTTAATTCGTAAAACTCCTTGCAACAATCTAAAATCACACGTCCGTCGAGGTTATATACTCTCTTTGCATCATCTTGTGAACTTATTCTAATCTCTCCCACGTCTATCCCAACAGCTGTCTCACACATTTGTGCGCCACGCTTTGTTTCCTCTGTTGGGTTTGAATATCTGCGAGGGCGTGTAATTTGTGTCCAGCTTAAGCCAGAGATTGGTTGATGAGAGGTAAGGTCATTGAAACGAGGATGTACTAGGTCGCACTAGCAAACTTGATGATTTTTCTATAGATATCGATCTCGTTGGGCCGGAGAGTTTGATTTCGTCGAGAGTCTTGGATCATTGCCTCGTGGGGCATCTTCTTTGGAATTCCGAAATTTGACTGTACTTGGCTCTGGAGGAACATTCAACTCCCAGCTTCGTAGAGGACACCACGTACAAGTGTTCAGCCTTGCCCTCCCTACAAGTCCGTCGTAGCACGTAGCAATAAATCGTTCATTTCACATGGTGGACTAGTAATGGAGATGCCATTATCAATTGAAGGGTACCCTCATTTAGAACGGAAAAGAAAATTTGTATTTAGTAGTCTCTCTTACATGGTCGTAAATTCAAATAGGACCCAACCAGAATAATAAGCATTCGTTCTTAAATAGCCAAGCAAAAAATCGAAGCCGAGACACTAGCGAGTGGAATAAAATTTGCAGGAACGAAAAAGTGAGGCGTAAACAAAAAGAAGCGGGTAAGATAGGAGTATTCCAGGACTGGGAAACCGCATGGAATACTTCTATGAAAGAACGACTACCTTCTCATCAGGCGTCAGCAGACCCAGAACATTGGAAAGCAGCAAGTACAAGCACCGACAAGAGAACAGGTAGAAAAAGAATCACCTACAGAAACACACCCTCTAACATCCACCGAAACCTGAACAGGGCCCAAAGTAGTATTGCAGTACAGATGAGAAGCGAGCATATCAGCCTCAACTCTTATCTTTATGGAAGAAAGGTCCCTGGAATGGCAAATCCAAATTGTTAGTGTGATTATGTGTCACAAACCCTGAAACATATGGTCATGGCTTGTCCTCAGTGGGCTAATGGAAGAGGAGAGGTGCTGCAACGGGCAAAAGATAGGTCTTTTGAAGCTATGATGAACATCCCGGAAGACATGAAGAGAATTACAGAGTGGATACTTGTAAACGGCTGGCTCGAACAGTTCCGGCTTGCAGAAGAAGTTGAGACAGCAGTCAGCGAAAGGATTGAGCGATCGGGAAAAGGATAGGACGGATTTCACACTGGACTTACAGTGTAAACGCACTTCCTGTAGGAAACCTCTAAAAACAAATAGACACAAGATAGACAGTTGTGGGGGGTTTTTACCGAATATGGTTTCCTCCTGTGTAAATATGATAGCTTGATATACCTGCATAGGCCCATAGGGTACCTGAACAGGCTAAATGAAATCAAATCAAATCATTCGTTCTTATATTAAAGCTTATAGATCCCACATCATATTATCCACAACACTTCTTACAAGAACTTCCATCTGGTGCAATGGCCCCAGCCGTTGCATCGTCATCGACAACGCCCCCGAATCCAGGGGGGCAACTCCACCCAAGCCTGCTAGGCATTGTTAATGCAATGCAAAAAGCAGAACAAGAAAGAAAAGAAAGATTGGGCATAGCCCAGGAATTTCTTGAACTAATCGACTCCTGGGCCAAGAGCAAAGGAGAGAAGCAAGCAGCAGCAGTCGTCGCGACTCTGATGAACAAGATCACGCCTGTCATCACTGCCTTTGCAGTAGATCAGGCAGAAGTAATCAATAGTCCAAGTAAGAACTCCCCCGCCATGGCAAGCACTCCCAAACCAGTCGCGCCTAGGAACCACATTGTTGTTGAGAACAACAGCCACGGCCTACCTCCAAAGCCGCAAGAAAAAAGCTCGCCTTGGGTTACAGTTGCTCGCAAAGCAGCCAAGTTACCAACACCGCCCAGTGCGCAAGTTCCGAGAAGACCGGCTCCGATAAGCCGCCCTAAGGCACAGACAACACCCAAGGAAGACAAACGCCTGTTCCTTCGTTTGGGTAGAGATCACCACTGGCACAAATTATCACCAGTCACAATCAAAAAGATAATAACCGACAAGGCTGGGATAGCAGCCTCAGCTATCACCTCGATGTACCCAGTCAGGTCGGGGATCGCTCTCGAATGTGCGTCAGACGCATTGAGAGACACAATCATCAGAAGTGCACCTTCCCTACAGGAAGACAACACAGTGATTGAGGCAGCCTCAAAATGGACATCTCTGATGGTACCACATGTGCCATTGTATATCAGGACACTTGAAGGCAGCATGCCAGTCACCATTGAAATGGTGAAGAACGAGTGCCAGGCAGTATGTGGCGCCACACCAATCCAGGTACGGCCCACAGAAACAAAGCTTGGTCAGTACTCAACGAGCTGGATCATTCATTTCCAACAAAAACCAGCAAACACAAAGTTCCGTCTTTTTGACGAGAGCGGACCGGCAATTCCCTTCTCGCGCCGACGACCAATCGAGCAATGCCAACGTTGCTGGGGATTCCACACTACGCGTTCCTGTACCCGGAGCCAACGATGTGGACGATGTGGGGGAACCCATGAGACATCAGATTGCCAGGCCAAGGTGCCAAAGTGCTCAAATTGTGCCGGACCTCACCACTCACATGAGAGTAGCTGCATGGCCCGACCAAGAAGACAAAACGGGATAATTCTGCCCCGTACCCCTGCAGAACTACACATCATCAGAGAACGCGGGCATCGTGATTATCACGCTGCTCTAGCGTATTCGGAAAGGAAGGGCAAGGCAGTTGAAACTGTCATTACCCCGGATTCAACAATGACGTGTTAATGTTAGGGAACCCCTCAACAAAAGCACCAAAAGATAAACATAACACTCTCCACTTTCACCAAGTGAATGTAGGAAGGGGTGGGGAGAATACAGATATAGCATTGCAGCAGGCATGGGACGCCGGTGCACATGTAGTCATGGTACAGGAACCATGGACAAGGAAGAAAGAGGGGGGTTTTATCACCAAAAGTCACCCTGGATACAATAGCCACATACCGTTTGGAGGAACAGACGTCCGGCCCCGCGTGAGTACTTTCACACGCAAAGGCATTGGTGCGACTCAATTTTCTCCGCCGTCATCAGGCCCGACATCTGACTACTGTTTTGTAAAGATGGGCAGCCTGACTTTCGTCAACGTGTATCGTGCCCCGGGCACCAGTGGAACCTTGGAGCCCTTACTTCGGTGGGTAGTCAGAGGACTCGTGGTTGTTGGTGGCGATTTCAATTCTGTGTCACAGCATTGGCAGCCGCAAACGACAATTCAGTACGGCAATGGAGGCCAGATCATGGAATGGGCAACAGCTCACGATATGGATCTAGTTAGCATTGTCGGAGAACCAACGCATAGGGATGGGAACGTGCTGGACTTAACGTGGAGCAACACAGCTGCAACAGCATCAGTCTCCAAGCAGTATCACTGTACCTCAGATCACTCGACCATCGAGGGTACAGTCTTAAACCCTACAGTATCAGACCTATCTGGAATTGTAAGGAACACTCGTGTCAGCGATGAGAACCTAAAGGAATTCAACCGATGTGTCAGCCAATGGACCAAAGCTGCCCCTCTGGACAGTGTCATGGACATCGAAAAATTCACAGCTAATCTCCTGCAGGCTCTTGCAGACGCGCTGAAGATTGCGGGGAAAGTCCCAGCCATTGAAAGCGGAAAAACCGGGCCCTGGTGGAACGATGAATGTCGCATCAAGTGGCAGGATTACAAGGCAGCGAGAGAAAATCCGGACCTTGTAAGACAGGCGCGTAAAAGCTTTAGAGCCGTTGTGCGAAAAGCCAAGCGAGAGTACTGGAAGAGGCAAGTGGAGGCAGTTACAACTGACGCACAGGTATTCAAGCTCATGAGATGGGCTAAGCCTCGACCAGCAGCTGAGCCCCCTCCTTTGCAGATTGAGGAAAATCGGTGGCTTTCAGACCCGCGAGAGCGGGCTAGTGCGCTACGAGACATTCTCTTGGCAAGATTTAGCAGCGAGAACGACATCCCAACCTGGGAGAATGGACAGGAGGTGCGCATTCCATGGGACACGGAAATATCACTGGAAGATGTGACAAACGCTACCATCTCTGTCAATGATACGGCACCGGGAGCGGACAAAATAACAGTACGTTTACTGAAATCCTGTTGGTACCACCTCGGGCCTCTGGTCAAGGATCTCTACCAGGCCTGTCTAAAAATCGGCCACTTTCCGACGGCATTTAGGGTGGCAGATGTTGTGCTTCTTCCCAAACCGGGACGAAATCTATCAACTGCCAAGGGCTGGCGACCAATCTCGCTGCTGTCGAGCTTAGGTAAAGGACTTGAGCGTCTAGTTGGCAAGAGAATGGCATGGCTGACGATAAGTCACCAAGTTGTTCATCCGCAATTATTCGGCTCAGTACCAGGACGATCTGCGGTCGACCTTGCATCCTGTGTAATCCATGATGCTGAGGCGGCCATGAGAAGCGGAAAATGTGCGGCTATGGTCACACTAGACATCCAAGGTGCGTTTGATGCAGTCCTTCACAACCGACTACTCCAACGCCTTCGAGAACAAGGCTGGCCACTATCTCTGTGCCGGTTCATTCAGACCTTTCTCTGCCAACGAAAAGTCCAGGTGAAATACCGTGGTGGAACCACAGACGAGAAGTTACTGGAATGTGGAGTACCTCAGGGCTCGCCACTGTCACCACTTCTTTTCATGCTCTATATCGCTGTGCTTTTTAAGGACCATGGACTAACGAGCAGGTTTGGCTATGCTGATGATCTAGCCATCATTAGAGTTGGAAGCACCGCGGCCGAAGCTATCGCAGCAGTCCAAGAAGACCTCGACAGCCTCGTCCTTCTCGCCAGAGAACACAGGATCGAATTTGACCCGGCAAAGTCGGAACTTCTAGTGACCGGAGGAGGTCCTAGGAAGAAAATCAACACAGCCAACCTCTCCATCTTGGTGAAAGATCGCCGGATCGAACCGTCGCCTCATATCCGGTGGTTAGGAGTCTGGCTTGACACTCAGCTGAACTTCAAGCAGCATGTACAGGAATGGACTGGAAAAGCTAATCGTCTAGTCCACTTTTTACGACATATAAACGGAGTTCAGCGCGGGGCAGCACCCGGACCTCTAATTCGTGCGGTACAGGCATGCGTTCTGAACACAGCTCTCTATGGGGCAGAAGCGTGGTGGCCGGGTCTTTCTCGAATAACCACCATCCGAGATAAAGAAGTCGGCACTGGAGTAGGGTGGCACACATCTCTGCTGGACAAAACTATCACGAAAGCTATACGAGTAGCACTCCCAGCGTGGCGTACCACTCCCAATAGCGCTCTTCATCGTGAAGCGGGAATTCCCCCGGCATCAATAATTCTCCAACAAAAGATGCTGCGGTCTGCAGCTCGAATGCGAAGAATGGATGCCTGGCACCCTCTAGCCCTTCGGGCGGCGGAGGACCCGAAAGATACTATAAAACGCCTAGGTCTTAGATCGGGACAACGAGATCGCTTGTTCAGACAGCCAGAAAGGTACATGACACGCCTACAAATAAGCGTGCGTCAAGTTCCGACAGCGGAAGGCCCTGGAAAGCTCTACTTTCCCCATGGTCTCCCGGCATCGACACCAGGCAGTCGGGAAAAAGAAGCTAGGTCAGGAAGCATCAAACGATGGTTAACTTCCCTTCCAGCCAACGCAGTCTGTGCCTTCTCTGATGGATCCTCGTCGGGCCCCGGGCAATCAGCTTGGGGTTATGTGGTATACCAAGGAGGCAAACTAGCTGGAAGTGGCTCGGGTCCGCTTCCCGGAGCAGAGGTATTCGACGCAGAAGTTGTAGGCGCTATGAAAGCCTTGGAGGCTGCACTAGCGGTGGGAGAAGGCTTTCCGGTCAGCATTCTTCTGGACAATCAAGCGGCCGTCAGAGCGCTCGAACAAGGAAGATCCAATTCCTCGCAGACAGTGGTGGACAAGTTCTCATCGCTGAGACATAATAGGCGTGTAGAAATACACTGGATACCTGGTCATGTGGGGATCCAAGGCAACGAAGAAGCCGATAAGCTGGCCAAATCAGCCCTGGGAGATCTCAATGACCAATCACTAACCTCAGCTTCGCCCAACGGAGACGAGCAAATTCTGACCTTTGCGGCTCTAGGGAGACTAGTGAAAATGCGGAGCCAAAAGCTTGTGGAAGAGTGGTGGCAGAAGTATCGGCCTAAACGATACAAAGATCTCGACCTCTACATGCGCTGCAAGCGACCGCCGGAACTGGCTCTGCCTCGATGGGCGTATCACCGTCTTATTGCGGCAAGAACAGGCCACGGGGACTACGCCGACTACCACCGGCGTTTCAACCCCGAACATGAAGATCTGATGTGCATTTGCGGCCGAGAGAAAAGGCCCTGGCATTTTTCAGAGTGCCGACCTGCTCTGCAACGTTGGAGAAGCTGTGAGAAAATGACTCCACCTGGGGTCAGGGAAATGATAGGGGAGAAGGGATGGCAGAAGTTTTTCCAATTCCTAACCATAAGCAGATGCTACAGTCTGCCGAAGAACTGACAGGGTGGGAGTGATCATGCTGAGATAGTTTCTGGCTCGAGAGGAGAGGTGTTTGGAAGATAGGGATACGGTGCAGGGCACCGTAACTCAGACATTTGCTGTGATTTTATTTTTCTTTTGTCGCTTCTGGCTTTAATGCCGGTCATGTAGGTAGCAATGAGCTCGTAGGGCCCATCTACCCGTGTCACGTCTAAATAGATGTTGGGTTCGTCCTGTCACGTTAAAGATTTCAAATTCAAATTCGTTCTTATATTTGCTCTAACTTTAGGAGAATTCACGTGACATGTAAATTTTTGAGATTTATTTTATAGTCCTATCTGAGTCTATGACTATAGATTTCGTGATATTTACACGATCTAAAAGTTTTACACATTTTATTGTCCTGTCTGAGTCTATGACTATTTAGGACATGCAGGTCTTCTCTGTCTACTGGCCAGAGATACCTATGCCAGTAGTAAATCCCTTCTTATGCCTCCAATACAGCTCCCCTCAAATAGTACCACCCCCCCACAAGTCCTCATTCGATCACACACCTAGCGGAGCCCTTTGCCTTTCATTATCTCTCCTCTCCAGCCAACAAAACGATGGCCATTTGTCGGCATATTGGAACCTAGAAAATTGGAAAAACCACTGGATGCGGGGCTCTCCTGATACCTTCGTTGTGACTAGATCCGAAGATACAGTGGTCCTTCTAAAGCGTTCGAAGAAGCCGGCCAGATTGGCGCTGCAGACTTATATGTAGGTCGGTAAATTCACCCTCTACCTCTCCAGCCTCTTTCCAACCCCTTTCCAAAGGTCGTGCTAGAATGTCAGAAAAGTCTTGCTAGAGCCTGATTGGCGTATGTAAGCTTAGCCTAACTTCCTTTGTGCCGTACAGGGCTATGGGGAGAGCCATCCACGCATAGACAATAGAAGCTCTCCTGGCTCAACATCCCAGCCGCCTGTCTTTCCACAAGATGTATAGCCCCATTAGAATAACAGTCTCTCTTAAACCAAGAAACTAGCTTTGTATGTTATGACTTAATTTCCTCCTTGCGAGTGTACGTTGTGTCGTAAACTTGTAGTGGGCGATTGTCAGTAACGAATGAGGCAAGCTTCTGTTTACAATTGGAGTAACGCCTTTATCGGTCGTTGAGGCGAGGTGGTGTGTGGTAAGGTTAGAGTAGAGAACCCTTGTGAGAATGACAAGAACGGGTGTGATGAGAAGTAGCCGATTATAGATGTGTTTGTTTGCTTTCGACTTTGGTACGGACCCGTTTCTCCTTGGATATCATAGATATGAGAGCATACTGAGCCGCTACACCGGCACCACTGGAAGGTGGAGAATCCGTCATTGGTAGCTGTGCATACCATGAACTTGGTAAGTTTTCAGTTGAAAGTCGTGCCAAGATTTGAACTCACTAAGTCATAGGGACCGGGGCTAAAATGACGAAGGTAGTCTTATGCCTCTCAACTACAATAGATTTTGGCTGAGCTCGAAACCAAAACATGAATTCTTTATGCTCCTAGTGTAGTATCTCCATGTAACTATCTACTTAATCCCCTTTTATTCCCAATTTCCAGTGGTATCTATTACTGTGGTGGTATGAGAATTACCAGCTCAGATTATCAAATAATCATGGTTGTGTCCACATGCCGTTCTGCCGTGACTCTACTGTGAGTGCAAGCGACAATATAAACACTACGATGGTTGGATGGTGCGGTGGTACATTGTCTTGACCGGTCTTCCAAGCAGAGTCTAGATAGATTGGACACATATCCAATTTGGGGCACAAGACTGCTGTTCGAGTCCAGCAAAATAAAATCATAATTCTCGCGGTGCTGGTTTGCTTGGATAACCAAATGTTTTGAAATTTCCCTTTGATAGGTACTTACGGAGGAGGGTCGACTGTTTGTGTGAGCAATCACACCTCACGATAGTATCTGCAAACGAAATCCAGAGTATGAGTGTCCCGAACTTCAAAAGAGCTATGCAACATGTGTACATGGCTAGATAGCTGAAAACACATTAAATGATTTTTTTCGAAAAACAGACGCTGTCGGATCGGTCTAGGATACACAACGGAACGCAAAAGTAACTGCCAGGGCCGTGGCTCGATGGTGCGTGCACTCTCTTCCCGCCAGCCTGCGCACGTCTTTGCACAAACTCCATCCGTTCTTACCTCGCGCAATCCGCTCAAATGGCCGCCACTGCTGTATCGCCCCATCGGTCGCGGCGCAAACTTAGGAAAAGCTTGCCACTGGGTCTCGACGCCCGCCTCGCTGCGAGTCCTCCTCGCACCCGTGTCCGCCCGGCCTACCCGCTCGCTGCTCTCTTGTGGCCGGCACGCAACGTCGCTTCGCAATGGGAAGTCCTGCCACCAATCTTGATGGTCATCGGCCTCCTGCGATGGGCCGCAAGCCTATGGGGCTACTCAGGTTGGGTTCTTCATTCTGCCGAGCAGCTCGGTGGCCTTAACAACTAGGCAATAGCTAATTGTTTATCCAAGGTTACGCAAACCCACCGCATTTTGGAGACTATGAGGCCCAGCGGCACTGGATGGAAATAACGATACACCTTCCCACATCGCAGTGGTACTTCTATGATCTAGAATGGTGGGGTCTAGACTACCCGCTCTTGACGGCATATCACAGTCATTTCTTGGGCCAGATTGGATCAATCATCAATGCCGAATGGTTTGCCCTTGATACATCCCGAGGCTTCGATGATCCGTCCCTCAAAATATTCATGCGCTCTACTGTCATCATATCAGAGTTTCTCGTCTATATACCAGCAACAATCATCTTCCTGCGACACTACACAAAGCTACACAGCGTTCATTCCTGGAACGCTAACGTGGCTCTCACTGCCATTCTGCTTCAACCAGGACTGATTCTCATTGATCATGTACACTTTCAATACAACACCGTGATGTTAGGCCTAGTCCTGGCATGTATGAGTAGCATTCTAGCTCGAAGGCTGCTGTGGGGCAGTGTATTCTTCGTTCTATCTCTCGCATTCAAGCAGATGGCCCTCTACTACGCACCTGCAATATTTGCATATCTTTTAGGTGTCTGTATTTTTCCACGGATCAATTATACTCGATTTCTAAGCATCGCAATAATTACCAGTGCAACCTTTGCAATCATATTCCTACCCTTTATTCTTGGAATAATCTATGACGTATATCGAGGAATCGACCCTCACAGCGAATGTTCAAGCACCTCCATTCCTCAGTCGTTTGCTAAATCATCGTACCTTTTAGACTGGCATGTTTGGTACAATCCTATCATCTGCCAGGTCGCACAACTATTTCACCGAATCTTTCCCTTTGCTCGAGGTCTCTTTGAAGATAAGGTCGCCAATTTCTGGTGCGCACTGAACGTCCTAATAAAACTTCGACACTTTCCTCCAAAGCTACTCCAACAGGCTTCATTAGTTGCTACAACTATGGCTATTCTACCACCGTGCATAGTGATATTCACAAGGCCTCGTATGATAGCTTTACCATTAGCTCTTTCAACAACCGCCTGGGGCTTCTTTCTTTTTAGCTTCCAGGTCCATGAAAAGAGCGTCTTGCTACCACTCATGCCAATGACAGTCCTACTGGCTAGTAGCCATGGCCTCAATAAGAATGTGCGCGGCTGGGTCGGATTTGCCAATCTATTGGCGGTATGGACCATGTTCCCCTTACTCCAGCGTATTGAGGTCCGTATACCTTACTATGTCTTCTGTCTTCTCTGGGCTTACCTGCTTGGTCTCCCGCCTACTTCATTAAATTTGTACAGGCGAGATCGTCGGCCGCTCACCTGGCTACGCTTGATCACAGCTTCTGTGCACGGCTTCTTCTATGTAGCTATAGGCCTCTGGCACCTTCTCGAGGCTTTCGTCAAACCGCCAGCTGATAAACCCGATCTATGGGTAATTCTAAACGTTTGTCTTGGCGCTTTTGGATTTGGTTTATGTTATTTATGGTGTTTGGGGAGTTTGCTGGTTGAATGTGGTATATTTGTCGGGAAATCTCGGGTCGGAAAGGCCGAAGAGAAAAAAGAATGAGTCTAAACGAGTCTTTATCACCATTGCATATAAATATACAGCTACGCTGGCCTATTAAAATTTTTGTGACAAAATCACAACTGGTTGTTTAAGATAGCCCTGCTCATCGTATCAGGTTTAAGGGTTCATGCTTTCCAGACAGTGTGGGGCCCGACGAGCTACGATGGTGACTGGACATCTCCACTAGATCCTGAAGGTATAAATTATTGAAAAGTTGATGTCAATATACTCTAGAGCGTGTTGCCACGGATAACGGGCAAGTTTTTGACCTGAAAATCTCTCCAGACAGCGACGAAACCAAGGCAGGGGACCAGAGCGAGTGTTCCTCCAATGGTCTGATACAACATAGACTGGCCGTAGGCATAAATCACGGCGTCTCTTTCGGGTGATCCAAATGGGAAAGATAATTGTACATCAAGGTCACCATACAACAAGGCATTTAGAGTCTCGTTGCCAGGTAATGCCTTGGTCAAAGCAGCTGTGAAACAGTGGGTGAAGATCGTGGTGGAGATAGTCGTGCCGATGGCGCCTCCGAGCGAAGAAAAGAGAGCTAATAGTGCTAAAGGAACCGCCACCATTCTATGCGGGCAAGCCATCATGACGGACATCTGTTCAGAAATTACAAGACCCCCGCAACCGCATGCAATCAAGACTTGGCAAATGATGACATAACCCAGGCGAGAACTAGGGCGACGGAAGAAGATCATGAGGCCAACCCCGAGCACCTGAATGCCGAGATGCATCAAGGCAAGGCTTTTGAAACGGCCCGTCAATCTGATCATACCCGAGAAAACGAGAGCCCACAAGCATGAGCCGATACTGTAAATGTTGTAAACATAGCCTGCATTTGTAATAGACAATCCATGTACAACCCGGAGGAAAGGCAGAAAGTTACTATCCCAGAGACTAGTTCGATTAGTCAAGTGGCTCATGGAGATAAGATGAGTATTACTTGCTAGAAGCTGATGAAGAGGAACATTGCCAGCATGCATGCGCCCCAGATAGATGGGTTCCGAAGCAACTTAAATGGAATAAAAGACACCGGAGCGAAAGATCTTTCCCAAATGACAAAGCTGATCACACTAGCAATTCCAATTAAAAGCATAGCAATAATGATCCCTGAGCCCCATCCATTAGTCTGGTAAGATTCCAATGAAAATGGGAGTAATAAAAGGGTAGAGCCAGCGCAGATGAGCGTCAACCCAACGACTATGAATATTTAGCTGGAATAATTTCGTTAGGAAAGGATATTAGGAATTTACCGTCAAACTCAACAAGGTAATGAAGTAATTTTTTCCCTAAGGATTGACTAATTTTTTTTTGGCGTAATATTCCAGCGGCGCGAGCCTTTTGCTCATTGCGGTGCAGAATGTAGACAAGAGGAATAGTGGCGATCGGAGTGATTATAACAAATGTGCCATAAGCCCACGGCCAGCCAATGGTACTAAGATAAATTGCAGCAATTCGGGGTCCAATAAATGTGGTGATGATATACGGTGCGGTTGAGAAGGCAAAGACTAAGGCTCGGTTTTTTGGTGTTGAACTATCCGCCATGAAAACATCCATAACATATGCCATTCCATCGAATCCAACCCAATAGAAGACCTATTGAATTATTTAAAGTCATTTATCGTGGTAACAAAATAGGAAATAGATCAATACTCACTTGAGCAGCTGCAAATGTCTTAACATTATGAGTTGCTGCCATCATTGACAGACCTTGGGATTTTAGTGCATGATCTGAGAATCCATTATAAAGTGACAGCTGCAGATATGCATACCAATGGTTGTGATCATAGTCATCATGATCATCCCCTCACGGCGACCAACGATATCTATAAATTTGCCAGTAGGTAAGCGGAGGACACCACCGACAATACTCGAAACGATTGTTGTAGTCCCGGTCAAGGGCAAGAGAACAAAGCTAGAAGTTACATAGGGGATGACATTAGATTGTATCTGTTGCTGGAGAGAAATCACAAAGAAAACTAGGAAGATGCTAAAATATATTTTTTATTAGTTTGATTGGATAGTTATTGATGGTAAATAACCAACCAAATGTAGGCTATCAGCAACTCTTTTCTCGTCCAGACCAGAGTAATAGCTTCAATCTTGTTGACACCTGCTTCGATACAGCCATCTTTGTCAAACCTAGTCTCCCGTTTATTTGAGTTGGCTGGGTCTAGGCCACTGAATAGATGGTCTTGATTAACTATCTGACTCATATTGACCTGATCGTAAAGTTAAGGAGGTGGGTCTAGAGTAAAAGAGTAGTCATGTCGAATGAGATTTGAAAGGGAAAATGCCTGTACTTATGCGTAACTAAGTTTTAGAGGGGGGATGTGGCGCAAACGGGGTTTGGCAACTAGCTGAAGCTAACTATTGTCCCTCTTATCGGGCTGAAGTTCCCGTGGATCACCTGTCAATATCTACTTCCTCACTTTATCCAAGTAGAAACAATGAGAGAAATGAGCTGATTGAAGATATGCACAAAACTAAATAAGCCCATGAAGCTATTTTGTCACGGAGAAGACTAATATTTTCTTGATGTGTAAGTGGTCTATTGAGAGGAAATAATGTTGTTGGGCGGTATGATCGAAGATATTTCAAACCCCCAGATCATTTATTGAAGAAGAATTATGCAAAAAAGAGAATCTCTCTTTGAGTCTTAGTAATTCCCCACATTCCTTGACATAAAACATTTGTCACAACCCATGACATGCATAAATCTGACCAATGGAACTGACATTGTTTCTAACGATAATCTGTTGGGAAATGTGGGAGTTAAGATATACTCTATTCGAAAAGAATAAGTGAGAAATGTTCTATGTGGACCTAGAACTTTTTGGAATGGAACGAACCCATCTAATGATGAGAAGGCTGTTGAGAGATTAGTTGAAAGTTTGCAACATGTAAGCCGACTAGCCCGGGCTCTTAGGCTTCACTTCTCGGCTTTTGGCCACCAGAACTAGAATTCACTTTTCGTGCTTGGGGTAATGGTTTTGAACTTGAGTCTGTTAGTCTCGAAGAAGTCACCCAAGTCCTCGGTTTGATCGGGCAGACTGTGACAGATGCAGTCATGTGACATGGTTGACTATTTGTAGTAAAATTTTAGGAGGAATGGATGAGTTCGCGCTGTATCTTTGTCTGCAGAGTTGAAGGCTACAGTATGGGCCGGAGCACGGTCGACTCTTTAGGCAGCATCTCAAGTTGCTTATTGGATGAGTGGAGACAATTCGAATTATGGGATGTAGCAGCAGTTCTATATTCTCGATATTCTCCTCGAAGCCTTCGTGCATTCGATTTCTTTGATTTATTATTGTCCTATCTGAGTCCATGATTATATAGCACAAGCAGGTCCTCCCTTCCTACAGGCCAAGGGTCTCTGTCTAGAAGTATAACCCCTCTCATACAGCTCTCCTCAAACAGTACAGGCCTCACGAGTCTTCATTCAATCATAAACTTTGAGGAGCCCTTTGTCCGTCATTATCTCCCTTCTCCAGCCAACTAATTGATGGCCAATTGCGGGTGTATGGCGGCTGGGAAAATTTGCAAAAACCACTGGGCGCGGGGCTCTTCTAATACCGGCATTAGGACCAAATCCTAGGACATGGCTACCCTTATGAAGCAATAGAGGAGGCCGATCAGCCAGCCGTTGAATTGCGCAATCTGTTTCCAAGAAGGGGTACAGGTATTCTTGCGTGGTGGGCAACCAATGGACTAAATCTCACCAACATGTGCATCAGTTTGTCCCAGCCCAGTCTGCTTTCGCAGTAGTTACAGTAGGTATCAACTAAACTGGATTGGACCCAACAGAAAAGGGTGGCTATTAAATCTGCGCACAAACTCTGAGTTAGGTGGAATCTAACATGGCTAGACCAGGAGTGGCAGTGTAGCCTTCGGACTTAGGACGGTTATTTGTTGACCACATGCATTTAATTCTGCAGCCTGAGCAAAATCAACGCATCGCAAAGGTCCCAACAATTAATTCACATGAAGAATTTTTGCTTTGTCTATTGTACTGCTTTGTTCACAGACTATTTAGCATGTAAGGCCTCTCCCTGACCCAAGCCACTCATTGTCTGGTGCTCCTATCCTCTTTCGTTGCGAAAAAGTGTATCTAAGATGATCCCCATGGTGGATAGCCATTCAGTTCAGTGTTTACCCATCGTAGTTAGCCACCTATTCCACGGAAAATAATATCCCAAAAACGAATGCAAGATAGCGCTGAGACTGAGGTCATAAGAAAATTAACCAAAAAAGTGTAGCCTCAACCTGAAGAGGTCAAGACATTGAAGGCACACGAGGTAAGTATATCTATCCAAATCTTCCCTTTTCGTAACAAAAAGGGTCAACTAGATCCATGTTAAAGTATCAGCCTTTCAGCCTTAGCATGCATGTGACATGAGGGCAAGACTGAATACCTGTACGCGGTGTCCACTGCGAACCTGGGAGTAAAACATTCTCCTGTAGCCAAGTTTAGTCGAATTTCACAATACTAAAGGAGTTGGCCCACGAGGCAACGATTCAAATTACTCAACCACGCCAAATTTTCACTCCATAAGAGATTGACTCCAACCTAAGAGATATCAAGTCTAAAAGTACGACCAAGTACATCCTCGTTTCAATGACCACACCTCCCATCGACCAATGTATAGCCTATGCCGGCCACCAAATACACGCCCTTGTCGATATTTACACTCGACGGGTGAAACAAAGCGTGGCGCACAAATGTGGGAGACAGTTCATTGGAATGAAATTGAGAGAGGTTAGGACAAGTTGACAAGATGATGCAGAAGAGGGATACGTCTTCGACGGGTGTGAAATTTCGAATTTTGGCAAGGAGTTTTACGATTTGGGCTTTGTGCGCGCCAAGACTTCGCTTACGAGAGTGCAGCTGACACTATAAACACAAGCCAACGATGGAAGGTGTTGTGATCCGCCTCCTGGTGTTGTTCTCCGGTGTAGTATAAGTAGCCTGGGCACCTACTCCACTGGGGAAGGAGACGCCTTAGACCATATTTCGCGCGGAGAAAAGTTAAATGATGATGGAGGCATATCTGGACAACTAAGGGTTTTGGAGAGGTGCTCCTGGATGAGTATTCACGGATGAGGGTTGACTTGAGTTGAAGAAAAAGCCGCCATAACTTCGCAGTGGTACTTGTAAATGTAATCCGAGGCACGAGGGCTTCATCTTTAAATTGAGTCAATTTTTGTGCACTATAATTCTGATATTGTGTCATAGTCAGATAGCTGCGTACGATATTAAAATCTAACATGAAAAAAAGGATTAGGTCTGAGTTCGTATCAGAGAAGCGGGACTGTTATGCTGTAAGTGTTCCCCACATTTAGTCGTCTCCACTCCAGAAAATATAATTTCATAACTAAGAATCTTGGCATATAGACAGATTAGTTATAAAGCCATACCCCTTGGATATGAAGCTACACAACTCGAAAAATTCTTGTACCCAGATCTGAACTGTCTGAAACTGAAATTTACCTTACAACCGTTAATCTGCCATTGATGCATCAATACCGACAGTTCTATTCTAAATCGAATTATCTACCTATTCAGGGTTCATCACGGAAGTAGTATTAATTTTACTGTATGTCACTCGGTACCCTGCCGTGCTCATTATTTGCTACAAAGTTTAGACAGTAAATATTTTTAATAAAATTATCAGCGACCACTCATGCTTGATTTAAAATCGAACCAATACAAGCTTGATTTTCTGAAGGCCGCACTAGAAGGCCAGGTCTTAAAGTTTGGAACCTACAAGCTGAAATTTGGTCGAGCGTCTCCATCTTTAATGCAGGAGAGTTATACAGGGCAGACCTGCTTCGCGCCCTTTCAACGGCCCTCGCACTGACTATCTTGGACGCTAGCTCTTCAGGCCCCGCCTACAAGGGAATCCCTCTTGCGATTGGTCAACTCAAGAAAATGTACCATATACCAATTTTGATGATTCTGATACTCGAAGACATAATTGACGGATACGGATGTATGAGATTGCAACAAGAGCTAGCTCAGATGCAAGATTACGGAAGAAAGTATCAAGCTACCGACTAGGATCATCAATTTCGTGCTGACAGCCACAAATCGAATGGTAAACTAATCCGGAGATTTTAACGATCTTATGGCTCTAATTAGATATTGAGGCTATTACTTTCGCCGTATTAATATTTTATGCTATACAATGAAGCAAGGGTGTTAATCCTAAATTATTTAATGTCTTCTAAAGAACTTGCTAATATGTACTTCCCAGTTGAATATGTGGAGTACAGAGATTAGTCAGGTGATGGTTAATGGCAGTTGATGAAGGGGTTTTTTTATTTTTTTATTTTTTTATATTAAAGTCCTAAGCTAAAGCTCTAGGTCCACTATCGGTACAAGACTGGTGGAGCCGGCGGGGATCACTGCTTACAGGCCCAACTCATTCCAACCGCGTGACCCGCTACAGAAAAAGTAGCAGGTAAATTATAACTCAGAAACTGTAATCAAAAACTAAAATCAAAACTAAAAGCCAAAGACTGAAATCAAATTTACAAGATTTTTTATGTGGTCCGGATTCCGCGCTTCTCACCCGTTCCCTTTCCTGCCACATCTTCCAAATGACAAATTTACTCAATCTCCGCTGAGAGCAAGAGATGAGATAGCAGGCACTTTTTATCCAGCCGGTATCCTGCTATTGGATAGTATATGCCCCAAAAGGGACATCGTCGAGGTTGCTGTGTCCTCAAACTTCTTCTTCAAATTCCAGAGCTCCGAAACGTGTAGCCTCGGCCATCGAGACGTCCTTTGCAGCGGCGGTGATTGCCTCTTCGGCCATCTTTGCTGTTGCTCGTGCTCGTGCCACCTTCGCGAACTCCCCTTGTTCGATGTGGCGGATCCACGCGAACTGCTCTTTGGCCACCGGTCCAGACTTTCTGGGTCTGACTTTGCAGTCCCGAGAATCCAATCGGTGGGGTCCCCCACAGTTGCGACACTTTGTGAGGGTCTTGCACTCGGCTTCCGAGTGCATGTTTGATCCGCAGTTCCAGCACGCTGGGGCGCGGGAGCAACCACCAGTGGCGTGGAAGCCCAAACAGCGTTTGCACTGTTCAATTTGGCGACGAGGCTGGATCTTTGTAGCCGCTCCGGACTCGTCGAGAATTCGGAAGCCCGCACGAGGGGCAGAGTCCCGGTTGAAAAGGGTATACCAGTTTCTGTATGGCGCTCCAGGAC